TCTTATCTCCCATAAGGGAAGCTGCCTTGTTTCTTCATGCCTCCGCCATCAAAAAAAGACAATGCAAAAGATTCCTCTACTTTTAATCTTTCCAATTGGCTTAGAAGAGCAAGTTTTTGGATTCTATTCTATTTAACTTAAGGAAGAGATGTGGGCATTTTCCCCCTAGAGAAGCTTGATTTTCAGTAATGTAAGCCTAAAGGTTTATAAAATAGATTTATATTAAATTATGTTAATAGAAGCCTAGTAATGCACCATTTAATTGCATGGAAAATGTTCCCTTTTAAGAGGTCTGTCACCTTAACAGGTACATTCAAAGATTCCCTGTGAATAATGAAAGTAGGAACAATTGCTTTGATGCACTGAGCTGTATTCACTGTCTAGGACAGCTTTTGGCGTGTTTGGAGAGGATGGGAGGAGCTCCTTTTAAAGCAATGATTGCTCCTTTAAAACCAATTTCCCTTAGGGCCTCCCTGGTGGCTCAGGGGTTAAAGACACAGTGCTCTCTCCTGCTACTGCCAGCCACAGTGGCCAGAGCTGATTCCCCCAGTTTGCTGATGCAGTTTGCTGATGCTAGCGTGGCAGAACTGGCCAATCTCACCAGCCCGCTGCTCCCCTCAGCAGTGTATTTCAGTAGGTCTGCCTGTTCTACTCCCACTGTGTCTCTGGTGAATCCTCTCACCTCCACTCCACAACCCTACACCTCTGGCCTACATCACAGTTCTTGTACACATAAATAAACAATTAATTTTTAAAAAAACAATTTTCCCTAGCAAGTGGGTTCCATTCTCCTGCCCTCTCACATCCTTTAGACTGGGCCTGACTTCCCACCCTAGAGCTTTAAGTCTCCTGTGTTGGTTTAGTTTTTCTTCCTCCCACTCTAACTCTAAGGACCTTTTCACCTCTTCAAAGAAACATTCCAACAAATGCCAGGAAGAGTGAGTGGAACCTGAAGGGAAAATAGAAATGAAAAGCAAAACAGAACAACAATAAATCTGGTGAAAATATTCTTGTTTTTCCATGTGTATATTGCCCATGAAATCTCTCTCTCTTCAATTTAGAAAAATCACTTTTCTGGCAATTCTCTGGCCACAATCAAACAAATTGCATTTCTGATCCTGGTCTGATATAAAGAGACAAGACTGGTGCAACACTGGTGTGAAGGGAAGGAGGAGGTAGCCAGAAATCTAAGAGTTCAGGTTCTCAAGTTGTTGTTCTCCTAAAATCCAGAGATTCTTAGGGAAAAATGGGGGATGGCCTAACCTAGAGAAGCACTTTAGAGTAAAGGGGAAGGTCTACTGTCGCCATGGTCCCTATCCCCTGAGCCCACTCACACCCCCAGAGTGGGTTGCTGGTTCCCTTCTGCCCCTGGTATAGATTACAAACAAGAAGCTTTGCTGAACGACTGTATCCTGTATTGTATTGGCTCTTGGCCTTGGGCTTGTGTTGGCCACTGAGTGGGAGGGTGAGGGGAAGTCTCTGCTCAGAATGTCTAGATTGGGTCAGGGCATTGAGGGCAGGAGGGGTCAGGCTTCCGGCTCCCCCCCCCCTCTTCTTTAAAGCTGCCCCAGGACTTTCTCTCAACCACACTAGCTCCTGCTGCTCACTGTTTTCTCATAATAAAGAAAGTTTCTAATTTTTAATTCTTATTTTCACAAGCTTTCTCACTTTCCATCATGAGTCTATAAGCCCCCAAAGAGGCCAAGTTCTGAGGAAACAGAGTTTTGTTTTGAAAGCTAGCATCTAGTGTTTCCCAGGGAGAAAATTTGTCAAGGGTTACTCCACACATCTTAAACATTCTTCTTTTTAAAAAATCTGGGGAAACTTTACTTAGAGTGACACCAAGATTGTTTAGCAGTGTGCTGAACTTGTTGTGTGAGTTTGAGCTTAGGCATTCTTTTTTTTTTTTTTTTCCATCTTGAGATTGTTTTTATTTATCACACCTGTGTACTGGAATCCAATCACCTGGTGCAAAATTTAAAAACTGCTAATACATACAAGGAAATATATATTTCTCACTTAATCTCTGTTCATCAGCTGTCCTATTTTCCTCCTTGTAGGTCAGTTGTTTTTTTAAAACACTTTGTCACATAAAGAGCATTTAGTTCTCAAGAGTAATGAGTTTAGGCATTCTTAACCTAAGGTAAAACACAGGCCTTTAAAATGTACAGATACCCAAAGTCATATTCTGATCTGCAAACTTAAAAAAAAAAAAAAAAAACTGCTTTGGGGTAGGGGGCAGAGGAAGTGAGAAGATACAAATGCTACCACAGTAGACAAAGAAACTTCATGGTCCATTCTCAAAGTGAGAAGGCCCAGTAGCACTGAAAGTGCTAGAACAGGTGGATTTCCTTGGGAAATTTGGAGAGCCTTTTCTGGGAGGTGTCCAACGCCTAAATAGGTATTTTTCCCCCTAAATATTCTTGTCCTTAGTGGAGGATTTGTGGGGGTATTCTCTCTCCCTCAGAGCATTTCCCAGAAACAGGAGGGGGAGGATCAGAGACCATCCAAAGAGCCCAAAATTAGGCTACGAAGATTGCCAACACCTCCCTCCTTTGCCGAGCGGTGAACTCCGAGCATTGGCAACTTTGGGTGTGGCAAGTGGGGGACTCAGCTCTTCGCTGCCGCGGGGCCTGCGGGGTGGGGGCTGCACGAACAGGGACTGCAGGTGGGCCGGGCCTCAGTAACCCCACCACAGAAGGGCCAGTGGGAGGTAGGTGGGAGGGGCTTGGGGTGCCAGCCCACTGCGCAGAGGAGGTTCAGCTGAGGCAGGGGAGACGAGAGCGGCAGCGGGGG